ATAAATCATAAATATACTATTCTCAAAAGATTATCCATACAAATTGTTTTGGTGAAGTGCAACCCAAATGGACCAAGCCGGGTCGGGTCAAGTACATACCAAATATAGTTATGGACTTAGGTACCTTATCTAACAATATTGTGAGGCATAATACCTAGATTACCACTAAATAACAATTAGGTGTCAAGCATTTAAATTACTTTGTTTTTTTTTTCTTACTAATATATAAAACCGAGAATGAGGAGGAAAATGAGAGAATATGGACCTTGGCTTGTTATAGCTTTGGACCATTAGGGAGTTTTGATCCATGTGGGCCCACATATGTGTTGACGACCCAACATCACAAAGGAATGGGTTTCGGCCCATTGAGGCTCACCAAAATTGTTTACGGCCTATTAAGGCCCATGAAGGGTTTTGTGGCCCAAAAATCAATTACTTAGTGAATGTGGGTCCAATTAGGTCCCAAATGAAGTATCTTAGCCCAAAATAATCAAGTTGTGGTTTTATTGGCCCATTAGGCCCAATAAATGATTCCTGGCCCAATAAGGTTTGAACCGGGAAATTAGGGTTACAACCCCAAAGTAGAGTGTATGAAATGTATCGAATTTAGGTTTTAGGCTTCGACGAGTGAGTTTTGATTTGAACATTTGTTTTTGAAATGAATAACATGTATTGCATCAATCTTAAAGTTACAAGATACATCGAGAGTTGATCATACATAGACAGAATTTCCTAGCCCAAAAATGCTAGTTGTGACACTAGGGTTTGAGCTAAACCCATTAAGAAGGATTACGAGTGGGTAAAGTTGGAACTTTACCCTTAAGAGGTCATTTCCAGCATGTAGACGAAGTTTGGGGTTTAGATCTGGAATGTTGGGGCTTAATCTGTTAAGATGGTCCAAACAGACTAAGGGACTCGGCGAGTCTAGGAAGGGACTCGACGAGTCGAAGTGGGTTGTCCCGTTTTTGTTCATGCTAGAACTCGACGAGTCTGAGGACTGACTCGACGAGTTGATATGATAAATCGCGACCATGAGTAGCCAGGGAACTCGACGAGTCAGGGGTTGACTTGATGAGTTGGATCGCGATTTGAGGATTCTGATGTATAGGACTCGACGAGTTGAAGGAGCAACTCAGCGAGTTGAGTCAACTCGGAGCGTTGACTTTGACTTTGACCTAGTTTGACTTTTGAGGACATTTTGGGACTAAGTGTCATTTTGTTACTGATAGCTCGGGGAGCTGAAGGAGCAATAGTTCGGGGAATTGACAGTTAGCAGCCAGAGGAGTATCAGCAGGACTTCAGCAGTGCGAGGTGAGTCTCCTCACTGTGTGCATGGGTATACGGCCACAATGCCGACCGATTATATTTGTGGATAGTAGGAAGACCCGGGGGTTAGCCCTAGGCTTTTTATGATACATGTTTCGGATTACGATCCAATGCCGGGAGAGGCACGAGGAATGTTAATATGCTTGAGGTCTTTGTGATTCTTGCACGTGTCGGTATATATTGGTTTCCGGACCAAGGTCCGATGCCGGGGTAAGCCCGAGGAATGCTTATATGGTAGTATGTTTCCGAACTAGGGTCCGATGCCGGGGTAAGCCCGAGGAATGTTATATGTTGCATATTAGATTATACTTGTTGTCTTTGTGATACTTGTATGTGCCTGGTAGGGAGATGAGTGTGGGCGAGATCACTAGCTGAGTGTAGACGGGGTTCCATACCTCATTATTAGCAGAGTAGGGGCGAGGCCCGAGATAGGAGAGAAGTGAGTGTGGACGGGGCCCGTATCTCACTATCAGCAGGAGTGTGGACGGGGTTCCACGACTCATCAGTAGCAGACCAGGGGCAGGGCCCAAGTTAGGCGAGGCCTTAGAACAGGGGTACATGTAGAGTATGTTTTCCTTAAGTATTAGCATGTTTATATGATTGTATGTGTGTAGTGGGCGAGGCCAAGAGACAGGCGGGGCCTAAGAGAAACAAATATGTATACCAAGCGAGGCTCGATGCTAGGCGAGGCCTGATGCCGAGCGGGGCCCGATGCCGGAGCGAGTCCGATGCCGGGCAAGTCTCGATGTAGGGGCGAGGGCCCGGTATATGTGCATATGTGTATGGTATGTGGTAGTATGGGGAACTCACTAAGCTTCGTGCTTACGGTTTTCAGTTTTGGTTTCAGGTACTTCCGGTGGCGGAGGGAAGACCTCGGGATGACTGCATCGCACACACCATTTGTTTTAGCCTGGGATGTTTCACTCTAATATGATATGTGTTTTGATATGATACTCTGATTTGATTCGATGACTTTTGATTTTGAACGAATGATTTGATAATTATGGTTTTGCTTAATGAATTAAAATGAAATTTTTGGACTGTATTTTTGGGATGTTTCAGGGGATGCCTGCAGTCTGCTAGGTTGTCGGTCCTTCTGAATGGTAACCCGACAGCTGAGTTTCAACTGCAGCGTGGTCTTCGTTAAGGAGATCCATTATCTCCATTTTTGTTTATCTTGATCATGGAAGGTTTGCATGTGTGTATGGAAGATGCTACTCACAATTCGGTTTTTAAAGGTGTTGCTATTGGAGAACATAATTTGCATATCTCGCACTTGTTTTATGTGGACGATGCAACTTTTTTTGGAGAATGGGATGCGGAGAATATCAAGAATTTAATTCGAATTCTTAGGGTTTTCTTTATGGCGTCTGGGCTTCAGATTAATCTGCATAAGTCCAAATTGTACGGGGTTGGTGTTGAACAGGAGGCTATTGCGCAATTAGCTGCGTGTACTGGGTGTGGTGCAAATTCGATTCCGTTTGTATATCTTGGGCTTCCTGTTGGTCAGCTTATGCATAAGAAGTTGGCGAGGGATTCAGTCTTTACTAGGTTTCGCAAAAAACTTTCTTTATGGAAATCAAAGATGTTATCTATTGGGAGCAGGTTAACTTTGGTTAGATCGGTGCTTGGCAGTTTGGGAATTTACTTTCTTTCCATGTTTCGGATGCCTAATTCGGTTTGCAAGGATTTGGAAAGAAGTAGAGCCAGATTCTTTTGGGGAGCTGAGGATCGGAAAAGATTTTTACATTGGGTTAAATGGGAGATGGTTTTAAACGATAAAAAGAATGGTGGCCTTTCTATAGGTAGTTTGGAGTCGTTTAATCACTCCTTGCTGTATAAATGGCGTTGGCGGTTTTTGAACAACCATAATCTTCTTTGGGTGGACCTCATTAAAAGTTGTTACGGGAGTGATGGAGGGTTCTTCATGGCTTCTCGGTCCAAACCAAAGAAGGGAGTTTGGATGAGGATTGTTAATACGGTTTGGGATATGCATAATGGAGGCTTAATTCCGATTGACTCTATATGTAGGAAGGTGGGGAATGGCCAAAGTATTAGGTTCTGGAATGATGTTTGGTGTGGTGACATTATGCTTAGAGCTAGATTTCCTCGTCTCTGTGTTGTAGCTAGTAATGTTGATGCGTGCGTTGGTTAGTGACTATTGGGATGGGCAAGATTGGAGGTTTCAATGGGTTTGGAATTTTGATGGTGGGGTCTTGGCTGATCAGTTTCTTTATCTGATGACTTTGTTGCAGTTGGTGCATCTTTCAGCTAGTAGTGATTCTTGGCGTTGGTCTATTAGTTCCGAAGATACGTATTTGGTGAAAGAGACTCGACTTTTATTGGATCGGGATATCCTTCCTTCAGTTGGTGTGGATAATAGATGGAATAAGTGCCTCCCTATTAAAATTAACATTTTTATTTGGAGAGTGGTGCTAAATAGAATTCCTACGAGAGATAACTTAGATAGAAGGGGTTTAGACATTGCTTCGGTGCTGTGTCCGGTGTGTCAGCAGGCTTGGGAGGATATAAATAATTTGTTTTTTAGTTGTACGGTGGTGTTACAAATTTGGCTTAAGGTGGTGAAGTGGGTGGACCTTCACATCCCTTCGTTTTTGAGTGTTGAAGAGCAGTTGCAGTGGGTTGATAGGTTGACGATGGTGCGATCTAAAAGGTTGATTATGAATTCAATGTGCTCTACATTGCTTTTGGTGCTGTGGACGTTTCGAAATGATATCCTGTTTGGGAACAAGAAGATGAAAAAGGAAGTTTTGTTTGATTTTGTTGTTTCTTTCTTTTTTAATTGGTATTGTGCTAGGAATCGTAAGGCTAGTATAAATTAGACTGAGTGGTTGAAAAACTCTGTCATGAACTAATTGTTTTGTTGTGGTTCAGCTAGTTTTTCGCTAGCTTTTAATTCAATCTGCCGTTCAAAAAAAATTTCTCTTTTACAAACGAGTAAGACTAAATTTGAATTTGAAGATTTGTCTTTTTTTTTTCAACGGCAATGTATGGAGACAGATTCTGGATCAGAAGCTCTGGAATGCATACTGCTAGTCCCGAATGCTTTATTCCGAAGTTTATGATATTTTTTAGAAAAAGAATTATAAATTAATCATTATTATTGTTAAAATAATCGATTATATGAGTTAGATCACTCGATTTTCCTTTTCCAAACCAGTAAGACTAAATTTGAATTTGAAGACTAGTTTTTTTTTTTTTTTTGAAACGGCAAATTTATATATACTATTTCTAAACTACTCCTTAGATTCACAAATGTCCAGTACGAGATTTGAACTCTCAACCTTATTCGATTTTACTCTTTAAATCTACAAATGTCCAGTACGGAACTTGAACCCTCAACCTTAAAGAGAAAATATAACATCGGATACCGCTAAGCTAGAAGCCCTTTAGTTAAAAAAATATGTCTAACAAATGAAACTTGAGGCTTTGTTAAGGTGGTGATAATTATTTTGTTATTATACTAATTAAACACGGTATCGAAACTCTAAACCTCCGTTGGTTACATAGAAAGCACATCCAACGGATGAGAACTGACACGGTCCCACCTTTTCAATCACAGAAAGCAACGCGCGGAATGGGAGCGTGGATTAAACCAAAAAAGGAAGGATAGAAGTGAAAGAAGGAGAGGATGGTGCATGATGAATATGATGATGATAGATGAGACCAGACATTCAGGTGCTGCTGGGGCTTTCTTTCATCTTGTTTGTACGCTAAATTCACACTCCTACTCTCTCTCTGCCCCCTCCAATTCCGATCATATTCCCCCAACCTTTCTCTTCAAATCCATATCTTAATTCCATGTACAAACCTGTTATTGATCGATAATGGAGGAAATGTACGGATTAATGAATTACCATGAGCAAATTCCGCCGGCAGAAACGGCGAGAGAGAATTACCATCACGCTTTTGATGATCAGGCACCGGACGTTCGCCATCAACGGACTATTCCGGCAGTGTTTGGATCAGGCTCCAATATTCAAACTAGTAGTAGCAATAAGAATAATAACAACGGATTAGCTGAAGAATTAGATGAAGATTTGTCAAGCGCTAATCGAGCCAAGATCATGTCGCATCCTCTATATCCTAAGCTGCTCCAAGCTTACATCTCTTGCCAAAAGGTATGTCTGTATACGTATGAGAGAGAGAGAGAGAGAGAGAGAGAGAGAGAGAGAGAGTTGCTTGAGTGCTTACACGTATGTGTCTATGTATGTATATGTGATGTATTCGGTGTACGTATGTATGATATGTATCCGGTCAGTTTATCTGTTTCCTCTGAGTACAGAGACACTGTTAGTTTCAGTTACAGTTGGATCTGCGTTCAAACAGACATGAAAGCTGCGTAGCAATGTCGTGTGCTTGTTGTGTATTTAATCGCTTGCAGAACGTAAATCACAATCACAATATTCATTTTCAGTTTTGCAAAATTTTTGAAATCCGCGCGATTTCCTGCTTGTTTTTAAAATACGCATTTGAATAATTTGATCAGTGATATTCCGAGTCCTCAGAAGATCTTCAAACGTTTAATCTATAGTAATTAACTGGGAGTTTAACTCACATTCAACAGGTTCTGATTAGAATAAATTTATACGAACCTTCTGTTAGGGTTAAGATTCGTTGAAGAATCAAATACGTCACACGTCAAGAAGAAATCACTAGTGCGTGTTTGATTCTTATCAGGTTGGAGCTCCACCAGATATCGCGAACCTGTTTGATGAAATTTTCAGCGATAATGATTTCTGCCGGAGATCCAGCGCCTGTTCATGTCTGGGCGATGATCCCGAGCTCGACGAATTCATGGTGAGTCGAATTGCTGTCACTGTCGATCGTGTGTTTGTAATTAATTTCTTCATTCGCTGATTGCTCGATCAATTTGTGATTCTTTTGAAGGAAACTTACTGTGAGATGCTGGATAAGTACAGATCGGATCTGGCAAGACCTTTCGATGAAGCAACCACGTTTTTGAACAATATGCAAACTCAACTCACCAATCTCTGCAAGGGAACTTCTATAACCTACCACACAGGTCTCTATCTCTCTCTCTCTCTCTCTCTCTCTCTCTCTCCTCCAGTCATGGAATCTCGTGCTATGTGTGTGTTTCATCATTTTCATGTCCCACGGTTTATTATTATTTTACTATGCGTCTCATAGTCAATTATATATACTATAATTTATCCAACCGGAAACCCTTTTTATATCTCTATTCCGCCGCCGAGGGAAGGGGAGGCGGTGATGGAGGTAGGCGATACGGTGTCGCCGAAAGTATGTGCGTCGGAGCCGCCGGATATCTTTTGTAGCGGCATTTTGAATCCGACGGCGAAACAAGAAAGAAGAAGAATCAGGAAAACCCTAGCGTAGCGAATTATATTTCTTCCGAGTGAGATTTTCATGGTCTGATTTTAGATATTTCGTTGGTTATCCCTGATCCTTCACTCATTTTCATATTCGAAGTCTGATGTGTGTTTGTTTTGCAAAACAGTCCATTCACCTCGAAATCCCAACTTGTTCTAGGATATATGGATAATATATCCGATTGATTTCATATCCACTCTGGCAAAATGCAAAAATCACTCTAATTCTTTGTCATCTCTAAATTCTATTTAAATGATTAATTATGCTTAATTAAAAACATATTAACAACTTTCTTTTGATTAATTGATAAATTATTGTGATAATATTTGGTCTAATTTAAGGAAATTATTGTTATATGTTGTCATGTTTGTATTAGTAGAATAATAATATTAATATTGATCATTACTCTTATAAATGTGTAATTAACATGCCGAATTTTAAGAACGATTTATTTTTTTAATTTGTCTATTTTACCCACTCCCTTGAATTATTACTAGTAGGCCTTCTTATTTGGAGAAGAATCGGATTTAGGAAGTTTTTAAAGTAAATAATCGAGTCAAATTAAAGTCGAGCTTTGTATATTAATTCGGGTTTGTTATCAAGTGATTAGCTAAACTTAACTTTGGTTATGATGGTCAAATTAAATTTGATATATAGTTAACATGTATTTTACTCGTCTTGTAAAAGTTAAGTCTAGCCTGATTAGAACCATAATTAGAAACCTCTTATATGTCTCTTAGTTAGTCTGATAAGTAGGTTTGGTCTAACTCAATCAGATATTGATTTAATTAAATCTAAGTTAATCAATAATTATCAAACAACCTGTCAATCACATGAGGAGGTTTAAACTTTAAACAATAGTAATGAGATATAGTAGGGTATTCATCTTGTAAGTTAGCATATATCTTAATAAGAAAGTCTATTTATTAAATTTATTTATGATGCACCTTAAAGGGTACATTTAATCAACTTCAAGCTGTTGGATAGATGTATTGTCATTGACTCATTGTGCATTTGGCTTGATTAATTCGAGTTAGGATTAGGAAGCAGGCTCTATATTTAATTTAATATATTTTTGTGTATTACTTTTAAATATAATGTATGTAAGATATCTTGAACTCAATATTCCTATAAGTTTGTACAAAATTTTTAGACATGCATAAAATTTAAGCAGTCACCTTAGCTAGCTAGCTTTAAAAAAAAAAAAAACATCTTTTACTTTAATTTTCCGGATATATGATATAGCAATTCATTCAAAGCAATCGAGAGCTCCCGAGAATTCACAATATGACGTATAAGAAAGCCCCTTCCAATACATTATACTCTGTTCAAATTAAAGTTAATCTGTATTAATTAAGTATATATGTGCAGAAACAAAGGTATGATTAATTAAAGATGTAGGAAGATAATTTTACTGGAGCATTTGCCCAAATCTTGAATTTTAAGAATAGCTAGGGTTTTCAATACTAGGTGTTCTCGTTCTTCTTCTTCTTCTTTTTTTTTTTTTGAATGTGATTTGGGTAGTTTGTTTTATTAGGAACTCTACTTTTCCTTCTTCTTGATATAGATGTAGACATAAAAGGGGAATATGAATGGTGACCACAATGACAGTGGCACTTAGTATTTTTGTTTCTATTTACTTTTTCTTTGTGTTTTTTCTATAATGAAGATGAAAATATTTAAATTTAAAAAAGAATTTGAATATTATATATAGTAATTTGAAGTCTGCATTAGTAGTTAAGTACAAAAGGAGTAAATTTTAAGTAGTCTATATGGACCTTTTTAACATGTCAATATAGATCTATTTTCTAATGATTACAAGCATTAGGCATACATTATTCAACTTAAAAATTGATAAAAGCTATAAAATAATATGACTCATCGTGTCAATCACAGCTAAACCTTAAGTATACTATATTCAGCTTGAATTTATCAAACAATTAATAACTTATATGTTTAAATTTACTAAACAATGATATGCTAAAATTTCTTAATAAAAGGTGTTTTAGTTGGCTACATTTTTTTTTATCATGCATCATTGTATTGTTTCACTATTATAGTAGTTTGCTTGTTTTTTTTAATTACATGAGAAAGGTAAGACAGAAAAACAAGAACACTATACCATTTTGTAGTCTTATCATAGAAAAGTTGATGATTAATCTCATTTTCAAGATCTTGTACCCCAAAGCAAAATATTTTTTGTGAAGTTTCCTTTCATGAAATAAGAAACAAAAAATACTATATACCTTACAAATCATGTCATGCTTAATTAGTACAATAGTGAGCTTCTCAAAAAAATCATGTTGGTTTTCCCAATATCTTGTCTACCTTTGACAACTTTCTTTTTCCCATTTAGTTGTATAGTCTATTCAGAATCTGAATCCCTTTGATGCATACTGCATCTTATTAAATAAATCCCAAAATTCAGGATCTCTTTTTCAAGAAATTAACTAAAAGCAAAGAAAGCACAATGTTTTAGTATTGACTTTTGCCTCATTTTACTACTACTAATTTTTAAAATTTCAATTAAGTCTACAATGCATTTATTTTAATAGAGTTGACATTATCATTTTGCATTCCATATAACTCTATTATTTTTTTCTATAATACATTGAAATCTAGAAAGTTCAATGAAAAAAATACCAAAACTAATTTATAATATTTACTTAAGAATTAGAAAACTTTCTTTTTTCCTATTGAGTACAAGGATGGTCGGCATCTCACAATGATAAAAAATAACTAGAATTAGCATCTGAGACAACTGTCATTGAACTCTCTAGTGTGAGTTGAGTATGCTCTTAGATATCAAGTGAACCAAAGATAAACTTTAATTTTAATTAAGTATATGGCTACTGTCATTCATATAGAGAACTAACTTTCAGAAAACTCCAAAAGCCCACTCAAATGAACTAAAAAAGCTTTTGTCTTTCATCATGTTAAATCATTTAGTCATTCAAGATGTCAATCTTTCTAATCAATATAAAATATAGAGATTCAAACCATCATTCTTAGTCATCCAAGATGCCCATCTTTGTCAATGTAAAATATAGATGTCTGAAGTATAAGCCCAATTGGAACTACATACGCATGCTTTATTAAAGGTCGAATCATCTATATAGCATTAATCATCAAGTGGGTTAAATTGTCCTTTTTTGTTTTTTATTATGTGGAATAAAATATCTCAAATGTTAAACAAATAGTTCAATTCGATTTTGTTTATGTTAGTATTAGTTTGGTAAACTAAGTATAAATGTGGCAATGCGTCCAATTACTAGAGTAAGGAAATATTAAATGTTGTTAACAATAAAATTAATTAAATAAGGTTATAAATGAAAAACCAACCTTTCTTTTCTTGACTTTTGTGTATCAAAAGAAAGGTAAGGTGTTATTTGTTTTTTCGAAGCAAAAATTCAAAAAGTCTGCGGACCATCTCTGCAAACCTCTGCAGCAGAAGAGGTGGACCAAATGGCTGCAGACTGTAATAAGAAGCGTGCTTGTTTTTGTTAACATCTGCAGACTGCTGCAGATATTAAAAATTTAAAATAAACTAATTTAAAAAACAACATTAAAATGAATTAACTTATGTAAATCAAATGGGAGAAAATAGTTAAAGAGATATAAATTTAATGTATTAAATGTTAAAAAGATGAAAATAGAATATAATATATAAGTAAATGACCATAGACGTAATATTAAATATACTTCATGGACACTTATTTAAAAAACAACACACGTCGTTGTTAGATTTTTGGAAAAAAAAGGGCCGATTGTTTTTTGGGATTAGATTTTTTTAGGTTTAGGTTTGAAGGGGTGGGAAGAGGTACAACAATTGCTTCCCCAAGAAGCACACGGACAGAGATTTTAAGCCCCGAAGACTTCTGAAAAACAAACTGCTGCGGGACAAAAAGTGCTGCGCCGCGCAGCAATAAGAGTTTTGAAGAGATTTTTTAAGAAAAAACAAATAGCACCTAAATGACCCGGCCCTTTGTCCTACAAGGTTTAGTTTATTAGTAGATTAAGTAGTATGTGAGATAAACAAATCAAAAATCTAGTATTTCTACTTAATTGATTACGAAAACAAGATGCCTATTTGTAATAGTTGATAACACGATATGTTATTTGAGATTTAAACACTCTATAGATATACTCGGATTTGAATCCCAAAATCTTCTAGTTAGGGTGACATGCCGTTATAAAAATATTACATAAAATACTCTTCAATTCTTGTGAATAGGGGGTTCTTTGGATTATTATTAAATTTTAGTGAGATACAATTATTCGTACTTGAGGAAAGAAGGCTTTTGAAACAGTTGTTATTGTAAACTCTAGCTGGGAGGAGTGAAGTGAATATGAAACCTTTTCCCAAACATCATAAAGGGCTTGTCAGTGTTGCCCTACACATATATAATATATAAAAATAAAAGTTGCAAATATGTACGGACTGTATAGTCTTTCGTAAACTTCATGTGGTTTTACTTTACGTTTTAGGGTTTGTACTTTTAGTAAGTGATTAGTCTAAAAAGAAAGAAAGAAAGGGGAAAGAGAGAGGCACTACCAGGTTGGTGCGTGGTTTGCGGGTTATCTCCCTTGTCTGGCTTTTCTCTTCTTTTCATTTATTTATCACAAGTCCGTACACATGGAAAGTCTCACACACCAGGCTCTGGGCTCTGCTTGCGATTCGACACAACGAACCTTTGTATTATCATTTCTCTTATCTTTTTAATTTTATTTTTTTACAGTGAAAGACGTGAGTCAGTATTCTTTTCTTTTACTGTGACCCCACACCCAGGCCACTCAGCCTTTGGTGTTTTCACATCCCTGGAATCATTCAAGTCTAGCTATTGTATTTGTACCACCCTATATGGAGTTGCTTGCCACTAGATCCATTAATTAGGTCTTACTTGTCCTCTATATACATATTATATATTATATATGTATACATGCATATATAAACATAAACATGCAGAAACATATACACGATATATATACATATTGTTCCTAGAAGTGTGAGAACTGAGAAGTGGAACTGGTTTAAATTTTTGAAGGAGCTTGATATGTAATAGTAGTACCATTACTAAAAGAGAAAACTGTAGTTGGGTAATCATAATTTAAAATTTTGGAATTAACATTCACACTTTTCATTGTTATGGCCTTGCAATATTAGAAAGAATTTATACTTCATTTAGAGTATCATAACCAGTTAACCACCCCCAGCTGCATTTTGTATGCGATCATCTGACAAGTTTATGTTTGTTTTTTTTTTTTTTATTAACTTTGCACGTGAGGAACCAATTACAATCCGTAAAGGACAATGAATGATCATTGTTCTCATTAACAAAAATAATGTAGGCTTTACGGATAAGTCTAGGGTCTTAAGTAAAAATAAGTGGTGCTTTGGTCAATTTACGTGTTAAATAAAGTGGCTTCTTTACTTGACACAGATAGCAATCAAAGTATGATAACATATATGTAGAAGAGTATGCCAATATTATATTGTTTATTTCCAGTTTATTTCTTGTTTCTTCTCCTTCTGTAGGCATAGGCAGAAGACTATTAGAAGCTGTAATTTGCTTGTTTTCGTTCAATAGTTATTGTTGATCCATTTTACAGTTTCATTACATGTTAGTATTTAGCACAACAAATTTGTATCAGGGTCAGGAAAAGGAAATTATGATCGAACACAGTGACTTCTCACGGGTTCTTCCTTGTGTTTTAAGAGGTTTAATCAAAGGGATGAACTCTACAACTGGGTGATGATAAATTTTTACTGCATAGGGAGTATTTTCGATCAAAATGAAAGGTAGCAATAGTTTTCTGAATCTAAAGAACCATATAAATGTTTTGGTGCGCTTTTTTGGGAATCTAGCTAGCATTCAATATGGGTAAGAAAGAACATTTCAATTTGGTTTGTTTCTTTGAATTGTTCTTTACTTTTGGGTTGGAAATCAAAAAGGGATACTAGCTAGCTCTACAAATAAAGTTTTCTACTGAAACTTTGACGTTCCATTCCCCTTTGGTGAGGACAGATTTGTGTCACGTGAGAAAGTCGATGGTCCTCCGAGAGGGTACGTTCTTGTTCTTCACTTATGTCTGAGAAGGTGGGGGAATCTCCAAACGGTGGAGGTTGGCAGCACTACAGTAGCATCAAGTGGTGGAGGTCTAGAAGTTGAATGAAATTATAAGTACCCAATTCGAGGTGGAGGCTCGAATGTTTAGCCAAATGTGAATGTCGGTTGACTTAATTATAGGTTAAAGTGGAGTTTTGTAGGGTTGTTGTAACTTACAAGTTAGTCTAGGGCCTTAAGTGGATACAAAGGGTCTTTTTGTCAATTCACATGTTAAATAAAATTACTTCTTTTTACCTGACATAGGGATGAGAAAAAATCCAACCGAAAATCATAAAAACATCAAAATCAAAAGCAAGAATCCGAAAACATGATGAAAATGGTTTGAATTTTTATAAAAATTGATATATTGATTCAAGTTTGTATTATAAACCGACCCAATAAAACCAAACCGACTCATAGCTTAAAAACCAACCACTATATATATATATATATATATATATATATATATATATATATATATATATATATATATATATATATTCTAAATATTATTTTTATATTTATTATACATATTTTATGTTTAAGAAATATGTTAACTATGTTACTCTGTTTGATTTATGTTATTTTATAAGACAAACTACCATTACACTTACCTAGTTATTTTAGTATATTTAAATTGGATATGATGCCATTTATAACAACATATTTTCAATGGGTTTAAACTCGAAAACCAGAAAAACCACAAAATCTTAAACCCACATTTTCAAAACTAAAAAACCCATAAAACCCAAACTGAACAACCGACCCATATAGAAACCAAACTCATATGGGTTTTAAAACCGAAAAAACAACTTTAAATTCTATGGTTTAGGTTCTATTTAGCCAAAAACCGACCCATGATCATCCTAACTTGACATATATAGAAGTAAAACTGTAATAAGGGAAGAGTAGGTCAAGTTGATTGTTCATTTTCATTTTCTTTAGTGTTTCTTCTCCTAATGCAAGAGAAGCGATAATTATATATAACTACTCTTATCTTTGTTGATAAACAGGTAAATTAAAGGTAACAACATTTGCTAGCTATCATAGCTCACATATATATATGACATATTATTACCAATTAATTTGTGGTAGCAGATGAAAGCGCAGAGAGATCAGAGGAAGATTTAAGTAGGGGGGAGTCGGAAGTGCCAAAATCCAACTGGACAAATGAAGATCGAGCTCTGAAAGAAAAACTTTTACGTAAATACAGCAAATATATAAGTTCCCTCAAGCATGAATTCTCCAACAAGAAAAAGAAAGGGAAATTACCCAAAGAAGCAAGACAAGTACTCCTTGATTGGTGGAACGTTCACTATAGATGGCCTTATCCAACTGTAAGAATTCATTCACCACTTAATTTTCAATAAATTAAAAAAAAAAAAAAAAACATAAAATTAATCCCTTATTATTTTGGCTGTACGTTGATACATTAGGAAGCAGACAAGATTGCGTTAGCGGAATCAACAGGGTTGGATCAAAAACAGATAAACAATTGGTTCATAAATCAAAGGAAACGCCATTGGAAACCATCAGAGAATATGCAGTTTGCAGTGATGGATAGTTTGTGTGGGTCGTTCCTCGTCAACAATTGAGGTGGTTACTCTTCCGACTTTTATTATTATATATTTTGTATAATAATATTATGAATAATCTTGACTCCATCCATTTAAACATTTAAGTGCTTTAGGCTACATCCCAATGTAAGAGTATATTTTCTTAATTTAGTATCATACAAAATGTAGAATCTAGACATGATGAAAACTAAAGTATATTATTTTTGTGGTCTATCTATCAACATGAGTTTGCTATATATGATCTTTTTCGTTATTACAAACAAGTTTCATGAGTAAGTGACATATGTTATCAATTTATATATATTCATGCATTGTATGTTGAAGTCGATGTGTGACTTCCAGCAATATGATTATAAAGTTATATTATTAAAACAAGAATTTAACTATTTTAAGTAAAATAAATTATTGATGTTGTCACCATACATGCTGGGCAATTTATACTTGTTTCCATTTTAACTATTTTTCTACTTTACCAATTAATTAATAAAACGCTAACTTAAATTATATTTGAGTATTAGTTGACTTGACGTGCAAACAAAATATACATGCGTCATGTGGTTTAGTTGAAGCCCAACTTTCTTTAGGATGATAAAGTAATCTTTAGCCCATTGTTTTCAGACTTTCGAGCCTAAACATAATCAACCCTTAGAATTTGGACTTCTGCAGTTTTAAATATTGCCCAATAAAACTGTTCAAAATTATCTGGGTTCATAATTTTATATTGCTCTTTATTAATACTAATCATTAAACTTTAAACCTTCTGCCGTTGATATGTGTCTATTATTTTATGACCGACAAAAGAGTCATACGTATGGGAGATTATCACTATTACAAATATATCATGTTTTGTGTTCAATGGAATAATTAATGAATTCAAAGCATGATTCAAAATGATTTGGCCAATCCTATAAGAAGCCACGTATGGGCTAAAGGCTATACATAAATACTAATAATAATATAATATGCTAACGGCCCCCGCAACTTGAACAAGGATGGCATCGCGAACGTTCAAGTTGGACCGAAAGTTAACAAAAAAAAGTAGATGGTAAACTCTTAGTGAAGATATTAGCATATTGAGACTTAGAAGACACATGAAGAACACGAACCTGACCAGTGGCAACCTCGTCACGTACAAAGTGTAGGTCGATCTCAATATGTTTTATTCGTTGTTGATGAATATGATTCGCATATAAACGACACTAGCATTATTACAATAAACAATGGTAGCACAATGTGGTGAATGATGAAGCTCAAGAAGTAAGTTGCTAATCCAACATGTCTTAGCAACGACATTAGCCACCCCTCAATATTCAACATCAGCACTAGAGCGTGATGTGGTATTTTTGGCGTTTAGAAGACCATGATAAAATGTTGTGTCCAAGGAAGACACAAAAGCCCGAGGTAGAAACGCCTAGTGACGGGACAGCCGCCCCAGTCGACATCTGAGTAAGCAATGAGGTCACGCGAATGAGATGTGAAAATTTGTAACCCATGATGTGTTGTGCCACGTACATATTGTAAAATGTGTTTGAGAGCAGTGAAGTGAGGCTCTCGAGGATCATGCATGTAAAGGCATATTTGTTGAATAACATATGTGATATCTGGCCTGGTAAAAGTAAGATACTGAAGAGCACCGACTAAGCTGCGATATAATATAGGATCAACAACAGGGGGACCAAAGCTACCAAGTTTGGCAGATAAGTCAGCACAAGTAGTGGCAGGCTTACAATTTATCACGGAAGCACGGTCAAGAATCCCATTGGCATATTTTTGTTGCGAGAGAAATAAGCCGTCAGTAGTTCTAGTAGCAGAGATACCCAGAAAATAGTGAAGATCGCCAAGATCTGTCATGGATAACTCATAACCCAAAACCGAGATGATGTGTATCAAAAGCTCGGAGGATGTACCAGTAAGAATAATATCATCCACATATAATAGCATGTAGGCAATATGATGGCCCTGTCTGTAAATAAACAAATAAGAATCACACCTGCTGTTAGTAAAACCAATACTAGATAAAAAAAACATGGTAAACCGCTGAAACCATGCTCTGGGTGCGTATACTCATGTTTTCAAAGAAAGCACACAAGTCTCATTCTTTCATAAGCACAAGTTTCTAATATTGGATCTATTATATGGTGGATAATACATGTATCCATTGGATAATATTATTAAACATTGGATAAACACAAACTAACATTTTTACCAAAAGTCTAGTTTTGAAAGATTAAAACTTTGTGTTTATACATTGGATAAAACCATTACCCCTTGGATAATACCATTATCCATTGGGTAATACTATTACATATTGGGTAACCAACATACATGTAGAACAACGCTTTAAACATGGGAAAGCTTCGATTTCATTTACAACCTAGAATAACATACTTTCAACGGGTTATGTGAGACATTTCTTCAACCGTTACGCTAAGTCCCAGACCTTATAATCGTTAAATCTTAAGTGAGAGGGAGAATTGTGTATAGATCTATATAGGATTGACAACCCCTACCTATGGTTGCTAGCTACAACCACGACCGACGGGTCAAGGGTGACAATTTTCTTAACATTTCACGACGTCTGAAGAAACGTCGTGGTGGGCAGCATTAAAGTCGATAGCTCGGTTATAGGGGCTCACTATAACATCGAATAGTGAAATTCTAGTGCAAAACACATTTATAAGTATGGTTATTTACTTATACACTACATTTATAAGTATGGTTATTTACTTATACACTACATTTATAAGTATGATTATTTACTTATACACTACATTTATAAGTATGGTTATTTACTTATACACTACATTTATAAGTATGATTATTTACTTATACACTACATTTATAAGTATGATTATTTACTCGTACACTCGATTTTTGGATAATAAAAATCACATGAAAAGTCACACTTTTTTATAAGTTTAGAAATTATGGGAACTTCTAATTTATAAATGTTTTTAGATACATACTACATACATGCATTCTTCTTATACACTGAAGGCGTACAAATACAAAACTTTTTACAAGACGGAGATACGATTTTCATACAAGGAAAAACGTTGGATTTTCTACAACTAAACTCTTACGAACTCACCAACTTTATGTTGACTTTAAAACGACATGTAATCTCAGGAAACAATTAATCGGATCAGTGAAGCTACTTTTGAAGACAAGACACCAAATATCATTACGGGAACTACTATATTTGATAACATGCAAATCTTGTAATGTATTTTGATACTAAGTAACATTTGGGTCATGTAACTGATATAATCATATGATATGATGGTTGTTTATGTACTTGTGTTTCAATGTATACAACTATTGTGATACTGTGATTCTCATTCCGCCCCCGGCCGTTTCCGCCATCCAGTTTGGGGGTATGACATGTTTGCAAAATGTTAATTTGATCTTACATAGACACATCAATGTGAAATACAATGATCTAAGTTGTAACACCCATAAAATTTCAATCAAATTTAAACTTTTCAAAACAACCCTTTAACTATAGAAATATTTACAAACACTGATGCTTCCAAAATGTTATTTAAAAATCAGAATCTCTTTCGATATGGTTTTCAAAACGTTCACATTATTAGAGTTTTCCCATAAATCATAAATTCCAGAACACGAGGATGTGTGCGGACACGCCTTCGCCTTGCCAAAACGTCTGGAGTACCTAAACCAATAAACTGAAACCGTAAGCAGGAAGCTTAGTGAGTTCCCCCAAAGTACCAACACACACACAATAACACATATACAAAACAACATACTATGGGTCCAATCATCCATCATGATGGAATACCCCAGGCCCTCAACCATCGGGTTGGAATGTCAACATGCTATGGGTCTAATTATCCGTCGGGATGGAATACCCCAGGCCCTCAACCATCGGGTTGGAATGTCAACATACTATGGGTCTAATCATCCTCGGGATGGTATACCCTCGGCCTACAACCATCGGGTTGGAATGCCCACATACTATGAGTCCAATCATCCTCGGGATGGAATACTCTCGGCCCATAACCATCAGGTTGGAATGCCCCGGTCTGTTGGCTCACGCACGAAGCAAAAAATCCTCAACCCCAATCAAACACATGCACATATATTAGATAATCACATAACAGTCTACAGACAGTCAAACCGATCTACAGATCACTAAACATAGCAACATCCTATCTACCAGGATACTGATCTAACAGATCATAACCACATAGAAATATCCTATATACCAGGATATCGATCTAACAGATCACTACAACACTCAATCATATGATAAACCAGGATAACAATCCATAAAGGGTTGGCCTTGGTGCCGTATACCCTGTTAGCACAGTGAGGAAAACTCACCTCGCAATGCCTAACTGAACCGAAAAGATCACGCTCCCAAATCACGGCTCCAAACTAAACATCTACAACCACCATAGAACCAATTCCATCAAGAGCCAAATTACCAAAATACCCTCAGAAGTCAAACTTGGTCAACCCCTGGTCAAAGTCAACAGTCAACAGTCCATGTTGACCCAACTCGTCGAGTACAGCTAGCAACTCGTCGAGTTCCTTCAGAACTCAGAAAAATCGTGAAAACTCGAGTCAACTCTCCAAGTTACCAAACAACTCATCGAGTCCATACAGTGTCCAGAAGATCGGGAAAAACCCTCACTACTCGTCAAGTTATCTCACCAACTCGCCGAGTTCACTCAGAATCCAGAAACGGGAAAACTCGACTCAATTCATCGAGTTCCTTCATCCTTTTCATAATCAGTCCTTTCCAGTCGAATCCAAGGCCCCAAACTATAGATCCAATCCCCTAGGGTTAAGATACCACGTAAAGTTGCTAACTTTACATCCATGTATGGCATCAAAAGGGTTAAGCACTCATATGAAACTTAATAAGGGGTTTAGGGCATGGAGGATGGCTAAAGCTTGATAAAGCTTGAATCTTTAGGTCCAAGGAGGCCTAAAGGTGTCTAGATCTAAAGTCATAGCTTCAAATCATGCTCAACTCTAAAAATGGTTCCAAAATGGGTTAAAAATGCACTAAACTTTCATGAGAGAAGATCTAAGAAACAAGAGGTCAA